CGAATTGGTATTTTTAATATGAGTTTGACAATAGATATTATGAAGTAGGCCTACATGTTATTAATGCAATACGACAACAAAGGAAGCACATAATGACGTATTTCATTACACATCAGTTAAGTTTTATTTCTTACATATCAGACAAGTTGCATCAGAACTATATAAACGTATAATAGGCCTAAATAAAACAGATTGTAGATTTATATAATAAAATATAATGCTTAGGCCTAATATTTAAGTATGTAATGTTGTTCGAGTCTTGTTCGTTGTACAAGAAATATAACTTGCAAATTTAATTAAATTCCGATGATCCAGTGGTAAACCTAATAAATATCCGCACGCGATTATTTACAGAAGACCACATAAATCCGGCTAAGGGTGTTTCGGCAATTTAATATACATCGTGTTCCGGTGACAGTGATTGTACATCGATCTCGCACTTCTTGATAGATCGGTAGATTTGACCTGAAACATTGAAATAAAAGAGATTGAACTAGTAAGAAATACATTCAAAATATATTTTCCTTTTTTATTATACATTGATACTTTTATGAGATAAGGAATGCAAATTCATAAAATAGAACAAATTGTTTAAATTGACATTCTGTAAAGTGTACATGCTAATAAAACGTTATTCTGATAATGATTTGGGTGCGTAGGCCTACGCTTCCCACCGTCCCCAACCCTCCCACCTCCTCCAATCGAAAAAGATCCATATCTTTGAGACAGACGAAGATGTTCTGAATACAAAATTTGTTATTTTTTGTAATAAAACTTCAAAAGCGAATATTAATTCTTAACATTTTAACCAATAACGGTACTCTATCGGAAACCCCGTAACGTCCTACAATACCAAATCTTTGTTTCAACCCAACCAACTCTTCTAGTTCACCCCGTCAAGTGTTTTAGGTAACTTCCCTCTTCCCATACAACAATTGGTCCATTAGGTATGATTACAACGTCTTATGTTCCTATTTCAGCATTGTTATTATTTATTAATTTGTTTATAGGCCTATTTGTTATCAGTATAGCATTCCGCAAGATGTTTTAGATTTTATCTACATCGTATTTTGATTTTTATATATACAGTATACCGGTATACCCTATATTATTTATATATATACATATGTATATATATATATATATATATATATATATATATCTTTTTTTTAAATTTCCATTCTTTAGGCACGAGCGCTAAGGATATGCCAATAAGTGAACTTAATCACTAACCTATAAGGCATATCCGCAGGGGACAAGGGACTGAATGGACCAATAAACCCCCTACTCTTCTCGAAGTATGTACTGGGTTATTTAAAGTGCACACGAGACCAATGCGTACACTGGTTCTACAGTTTAAAGTCATTATCCGAGAAGAAATTGTTCCACAACCGGAACCATTGGCGAGTTAGCCGTTTGAACCAGCGCCGATATTATAGCTGAAGGTTACGGTGCCCCTGACTTATGTGTGTGTGTGTGTATGCTGTCTCTTATACACATCTTTGTCAATAATCAAGCTTCCTGCAAAAATTATAGATTTTAAGTTTTTCATATTATCTAAAAAATATGTTATCAATATGTATTAATTCTTTATGCTTTGTTTATTGATATTGTACTCTTTCTATTAATGCTTATCTTAATAACAGAGAAAATAAACCGCAATATTGTTGAAAAGTATATAAACATACGTAAGATAGTAAGATATACAACTTTGTGGATGAAAAGCAGGTATATTGATTTTTTCCGAATGTACATGAATTATATAGATAACAAATAAAATGTATAGGCCGTACATATATCCCAACTTGATTTTAATGCTTGGAAATAAATAAATATAAAAGGAATTATGCATTTATTCTCATTTTATTCAATGTCCGTGTTTACTTTAATAAATTCAATAGCTAAAATACCGTATCCTTATAGCCTTAAACCAAAAGCGAAGAAAAATAATTGCTTAATCCAGCAATGAAATCATTTCGAGGACGCCCTCAGCAAAGAGGCATAAAACCGGAAGTGACGTGGTTGCTAAGCAACAAGCTCATGCATAATCATGAATATTCAGTAACACCTGTTCTAATTAGACTAACAATAAAATCTTTTTGGTCGATTTTGTCAAAACTGACCAAAAAGTTTTTATTGTTAGTCTAATGAGCACAGGTGTTACTGAATATGCA